ATAAGGACCGTCGAACCGTAAGGCGACCATCAACCTCTTCATCCAGCAACGCTTCACTTGACTCGTCATTCAACCGCACTCAAACAAACGAAGAAACCTTAGCCGCTCCTTTCATCGAACGTATGAAGAAACATGTCCGAGATGTCACTGAAAAACCTTACGAAGATCTTAAATCACCTTTTCATAATCCAGGCGAAGGACCCAGAAGAGATCTAAAACTTGACGAAATCTTCACCAATTTGATTGTTTATGAAGGGAGAGCTAACTATGACTTTTCAGGAGACAGAGTGGAACAGCTAAACGAGTACCACAAAGCCAATGAAAGTTTACAACCAACACTGCCAGGAGATATTTTCGATGCTGAAAAGCAGAAGATTCTTGTTGTCGGTCGTCCAGGAATTGGAAAAACCATGTTTAGCACAAAGATTCTTCGCAACTGGGCGTCCGATAACCTTTTCAACGAAACCCAAAAATCGCAAGTCGATTTTAAAGTTGCCTTTCTCATTAAGCTGAGAATGTTTAACTCTAGAAACCAAGAACTAAATCTTCGCGAGATTCTGGATCACTCAGAGTATTCAACCGCTCTTTCCGAAGAGCTCTGGAACTACATCCGCCACAACCCAGAGGGAGTGCTGTTGATTTTTGATGGATTTGACGAATATTCTGGTAGGACTAAAATAAATGAAGATGACATTCCGTACAGAAACAGTGAAGAGGAAAGGATGCCTGTTTATTTCCTTATGAAGAAAATAGTACAGGGAAAAATTCTTACCGGTGCGACAATCCTAACGACTACAAGACCCAATGCCGTGTCGTGTATGAAAAGTCTTGACTTCCACAAAACAGTGGAAATTCTGGGATTCTCAACTGAGCAAGTAAATAATTATGTAGAGAAGTTTACAAAGGAGGCGGACAAAGCGGAAACCATAAAGCAACACATCACCAGTAACTTAAACCTTGTAGCCTTCTGCTACGTTCCTGTTAATTGCTTTATCATTTGTAGTTGCTTGTTAGAGTTGTTTGGTAACACTGGCTTTACCAGCCTCCCGACGAGAATGACAGAAATATACTCAATTGCAGTAAGGATGTTTTACTTTAGCTACGATGATGATCAATATCGCCACAATAAAACTGAAGGTCAACAGTATTTTCTTAAGCCGTTTAAGGAACTGCCTTCCTCTGTGCAAAATGTGTTCACACGACTGGGAAAAATTGCTTTTGATGGAATTAAAAACGGAAGACTAATTTTTGAATCACACCAAGTTAACGACCTAAAGGGTAATGGCCTGTTTCACCGTTTACCTGATTTTAGAGACCGTCCTTTAGCAGAGGGAAGAGCGCAATATTGCTTTTTACACCTGACCTTACAGGAGTTCTTGGCAGCAAAGTATTTGGTGGACACGTTGAGTTCCAAACAACTGCGGCGTTTTGTTTCCGCTCACATCAAGGATGGCGCGTGGAAGGTTGTGATGCAGTTTGTGGCTGGACTGCTGGCTGAAAAAGAAGGACAATCAACAGATATTTTCAGCGGCCTTCTTCCCTCAAAAACTTTTGATCTAGAAGTTGACATCAAGATGAATGAAGATTCAGAGGAACAACCTGAAAAACTGACCTATTGGCCAGCAGTTCTTCAACACAGGTTATTAGTGGTGACGCTATTCAATTGCATGTATGAGAACAAAGCCTCTGATCGAGAAGTTCAAAAGAAACTGGCGAAAATTGGTTGTAATGCGCTTGATTTTAGGTGGTGTAACCTGTCACCTCTCGACTTTTTAGCATTAGTGCATGCACTTAAATCTGTTGAAGGAATTTTGTATTTTGATTTAACCGTCAACAACCTTCAGTCGCTAGGATGTATTGAGATTGCGAAGTTGTTACCTGGCAACCAACACAATCAGGGTTTTTGCGAACTAAAACGTTTAGACCTCGGGGGTAACAACATAACTGATGAAGGAGTAAAACATTTATCCACAGCACTCACACACACTAACTGCACACTAAACAGCTTAGACCTCAGGGATAACAACATAACTGATGAAGGAGTAAAACATTTATCCACAGCACTCACACACACTAACTGCACACTAAACAGCTTAGACCTCTGTCATAACAACATAACTGATGAAGGAGTAAAACATTTAGCTACAGCACTCACACACACTAACTGCACACTAAACAGCTTAAACCTCAAGTATAACAACATAACTGATAAAGGTAAAAATCTCCTAAAGTCATTGAACATAAACTGTAAAGTAAGTTTCTAATAAATCCTTGTATGCAATGTAAATGTTTCTCTGTTGAAGGAATTTTGGATTTTGATTTAAGCTTCAACAACCTTCAGTCGCTAGGATGTATTGAGAGTGCGAAGTTGTTACCTGGCAACCAACACAATCAGGGTTTTTGCGAACTAAAAACATTTTAATGTTTGAGTAGTTTAGCGGGATACAGTAGTTAAATGTTTAACACCTTCATTACTGTCTTCATTACTACTATGGAGGTTTCAGCTTAGTGTATGTGAGTGCTGCAGTGAAGCGTTTAACTCCCTCATCAGTCATCTGGCATCTCTCGATGATTTTGCATCCCGCTAAACTACCTAAACCTCTTTAGTAATAAAATAACCCAGGAAGCTAAAAGTATCTTAAAACCAATGACAATATTCTGTTAAGTACGCTTATCTAATCTATTTAAACATGTGTTGGTTTTTCCCTGAATAGCGCTGATTTTAGTCTGGATTCAGTGGCGTTTTTGGAGCCTTTAAAAGAAGTTGTTGTTTTTTTCTTTTTCGGCAAAGCTTCTCAGTGATCAGGTAACTTCAAAGCAATCTCGTAGCCCTTCGATTTTCTGTTGTATTACTTTCATAATACTTTCAATTTTAGGTGAAGCAAAATTGTTTTTGGGCACTACTGTGTCTTTATAGTGTAGTTGAACAGGTTGTGATTTCAATTAAAAGGTTCATGTAGCTTGCGAAAATATCCGTTTCTCCTCTCTCTTTGCCGCTGCAGAGGGACGTTTCGCGCGCCAGCGAAACGCCCCCAGCGGCGAAGAGCGAGGAGAATCGGATGTTTTCGCAGGCTAAGGTTCATATGGGAAACGCGTAACTAAAAATCTCCAGTAATGCGATTGTGGAGACTGGGTTTAATTGCGAGACACTGTATTTATTCATTTGAGATAGTTGTACATACAGTATAGCTACATGTGATATGTTATGGCTTTATAGAGTACAATTTGGTATTGATCAACATTCTGCGAAATATAACTAACACTACGGAAAATTGTTTTTTGGACGCGGTGGCTTTATACAGTATTGCGTAAACATAGCAACGTCATATTAACAATGTGTATTTAAACAAACTGAAACAGTTCATATATAAATGACGCTATACTATTAACGCTGTTAAGTATTCCATAATGGCGACACTGTCACAAATTGATCATAGACATATATGATAACTTTAGATAGCCATTTACACAGTACCCTGCGAGCGGTGGTTAAACCACTGCTCGTAAGGTACGCATAGACCGCTACATATGATATATACATATTTCCTATAGGCGTGTTATTAGCTTAATGTGATCATGCTTTCACTGATTTACAGTAAGTGCTATTTTAGGATTTTTGGTACATATAGTGGCTGATACATTTTCAGGTTTCCTGTTTTATATCATTGTACATAGCCTTGTTTTTTTAAACTGATGTTATTAAAGTTCCGTTAGACCAGTAACATGTTGGCCTGGCCTCGTTCCTTAGTAAATCAAACTTTCCATCCTTCAGCAAAATGCTTAAGGGACAGAAGAAGCAAAGGTTGGTCTAGACCGACAGGGGGTGGGAGGGGTTGGAGGCCCATGCACCCCCTTTTTACCGTACGGATACTTCTCTTTCGGCTAAGATATAAACTTTGTGTCTAAAACGGATGGATCCAGGGGCCTGTTGCTTTCTGCCCAAAATGAAGTATCTCGGGGCCTTGGTTAAAAAAATGCACTTTATTTGAGTGTCAATGAATTTTAGCACAAAGTACTAATTGGGGACACTATTTTTACGTCTCCTACTGGAGACGGGACCGCCATTTTACGTGGTCATCCGAGCCACGCGAAGGGCTACCCGTTTGCAGGACAAAGGCAGTACCTTCATTTCTTAGTCATTTTAAGACCCTGAGTATTGGTCCGGTCCCGGGAATCGAACCCGCGACCTCCCGCTCTGCAGTCAAGCGCTCTACCGACTGAGATAATCCTGCTGCGGTAACAATAATAAGAGAGGACCACACAACCCATCCTCTCCTTACTCCTTCCTTTGATCCCCAATTGTTTGTAACAAATGTTTAGGTGAAAACCCTTTTTTCTTACCTAGTGACAAGATCTCCTACCCTGAGTTGTTTGAAAGCAACTACCAGTTACCTGCTGTCAGAATCACTCAGAAAGCTGATCTCACCAACTATAAACTGGCCATCACCCCTTTTGTATTTGGCGCCAGCTAACATAGGAAGTAACAATTAAGTTAGTAAAGTGGACCCAAATCGAAATCCAAGATCCTTCTATCATGCATACACAGGGTCATTAAACCCGCCCGCTGTAGTTGGCATCAGCTGTTGTAGTGTCCCTGTCAGCCCCCTTCTTTTGTTCTTCCTCTTTTTAAATTTTTTTTTTTTATGATGATTTTGTTTTTCTCTCCCACCATATTTTAATTTAGCTACCTTGAATAACAAAATAAATCGAAAGTGGTGAGTATGGAAAATAAACCAAAAACAAACTGTATTTAACCCCTTAACCCCCAATATCCACATACAAATTCTCCAAACCTTTGTCTTCACATTTCTGTAAAGAATAAGTTGAGAGAATTTGTTGAAAGATCAAAGCATTTCTCTCGGGTGATTATTTTATTAATTATCACAACCTTTTTTCTTGATTGTGTATTTATATTGTTAAGGGAGAAAATTGAGGTTTGTCACTTTGGGGACTTAGGGGGTTAAAGAGGTTGACACAAAATAGTTCCAAGAATTAGTGAACCTGTAGCCCTCTTAGATGTCCCCAACTAATTGGAAACACCTTCTACATCGAATTGGAATTTGAACATGTTGGTTATTAAGGAGAAGGGAAAACCGAAACAAGGGCGCATCCAGCGTGGTTTTGTTAAAGGTGGGGGGTGGGGGGAGGTGATACCAGTCCATTCCCGAACGAAACTTTAAGTTTAAATTGTTTTTTCTTGTCCAAACGAGACGCAACGTTAAAATTGTCTTACAGCTGCCCCAAAACGTTGCCCGTTCCCGGGCTTATGCAATTTGGTTAGTCCTTGAAAAATTTACGAGTGCTGATTTATCCCAAATTGTACGAGAAAAATCATGCGATTACCTATGCTAACATCACAGTACTCGGGATAATCCGTAAAAAAGAGGGAGGGGAGGGGTGAGGAAGACTGTTTTTTTTCTTTGTTACAACAGCATGTTCCAGGAGCCGTGGCTGAGTTGACCAAACGCGGCAACCACAAATGATGTTTTTGTAATCGTTATTCATCATTGGAGAACTCGGTATGAAAATCACATTACTGTGATCAGTTCACGTCTTGCGAAATCTAACTTTACTGATCTGGAAGTAAAAGGGATGGTATGCAGTGTTTTCACTAAAGGCCAACCTCGTGTCCCAGGGCTTTTCCCTAAGAACTGTAGGCATATGATAAGGGTATCAGTTAATTCTATAGCAGCTATATGACCAGGTATGTTTTTTGTATAGTCATCAAAGGATGTTAAGGGTTTGGCCGTTTGGGCTTAGTTCTTCTACAAAGACTTTGATGAGTAAGTCTCCCCACCGCTCCCCCGGCCGGGTATCTAAGGTCATCTAAAGCCTTGCAAGAACAGGCTTGGTTTGGGGAAGCAAAAACAGAAGGCAAACACAGGTAAAGTGCTTTTGACTTTAAATATCATCTATTCAATGTTTTGGCCGTTCAATGCAATGTTTAATTGTTGACAAAAGCATCTTGTTCTTGTTGCTTTACATCATCTTGATGGTAGAATCTGTCAGACCCAAAGTGACATCACGGACCACTACCAATTTATAGGCACAATACACAAATGGATTCATTTCCTATACTTCAGTTCATTATTTCTTTTATTTATGACGTTCATAGAGATTACATGAAACGAAAACTAAAGCCTATTCAACTAACCTAGAATTCCAGATCCAATTCCAAATTTAGCTAAATTTTTCGGCTCACTGACGTGTAAGTCATGAGACTCTTTTGTATGGTTGGCCATCCGTTTCAAAATTATGACATCGTGTACGTGGGCTTTTTTGCCGCGTATAATCGTTTATAATCGCTATTTATGGGCTTTTATCCCATATACAACCATTTATATCGCGTATATACGCGTATTTAATACGCGTATATATGCAAAATCAAATGCACGTCTATACGCGTTGCTAAAAACCCGTATATATGCGTACCTGTCAAGGCCCACGTATACGCGTGCAAAAATGTGCATATACGCGGGGTTCAGAAATCAGCCTTGGTATAAGATGGCACGAAAAGTGCCTCTAACGGAATAGGTTTCATGTATCGTGGCAATGAAAAGTGCCTTTCGCAATGCAAACATGGCTTCCTCTCTAGCTTTTGTAGTGATATGTATCTTGTCAACTAGTTCTTACAGTTCTCCCACAACGGATCTTCTGGAGACGGTTTCTCGTCTATTAAGGGATTGCTCCAGGTTTTATCCACACGCCGATCGAAACATGGCTGAAAACTTGGTAGTCCGCCTTTAGGTAGCTGTCGATTCAGTTCGTCGTTTGGTAGAGTCGTTGGACACAGACGATCAAGGAAATGATGTCAGAATACCAGAGCTTGAATCACTGTTGAGGCAACTTCAATACTTATTAAACAGATGGGAGATGCTGGCAATAAGAGCAAGTTCTTGCACGACAGTTCGCCCCATAAGGACTTTGCCAGGTTTGTCAGGTCCTATAAATCAAAGAGCGGGTCGTCCGGCCTACGAAATTTCTACACATCAGTTGGAGTTTCTAAGAAACAGAATGAGATTTAATTGGTCCCAGATATCAAGAATGTTATTAGTTTCTAGAAATACCCTTTGGCGCAGAATTAGAAACCTGGAGTCATTTTCCAGTCGACATCATTATACAGCCATCACGGATTCAGATTTAGATGAATTAATTCGAGGTTTAAGACAAGGATTTCCAAATTCTGGTATCAGTATGATGCTGGGACATTTGCAAGTAAAATATTTTTGTGCAGCGTCAGCGTGTTAAAGGAAAGTTGGTTCGA